GGGGGGCGGTAGGGAAGAGGGAGAGAGAGAGGAGAGAGAGAGGCAGAGAGCGGCTCCAACTGTTGAATTTTCTCCGAATTCTCCACTTACCTGCGGGCGGCTGGTGAAATGGATCTGGTTTCTCGGGAATCGGCGTTCCTTTCGCATGCTGTCTGGCTAAGACTGGCGACCGTCTGTTTGAAAGGGGCCACCCACCAATGAGGCAGAGAAGAAAATTTGTTTTTCCTTCTTTTTCTTTTGAAAGCCTCTCTACCACAGGTTGCAGAATTAACTGTGTACTTTGGGTCCGGACTCAAATAAAGGAGAAAAAAAACAGTGCAGAACTGAGACTCGGAACTAGATCTGTGAGCTATGTATTGGAAAACTATGTTTTGGGGCTTTTTTGTTGGTGATTTTGGTTGTGTTTTTTTTTTTTTTTCTGTTTTGTTTTTTTTTTTTCTTTTAATATGAAAGATCTCTGATTTATTTCACACATAACACTGAGGAAAGGTGGTTAAAAAACACTCAGCAAAGCAGGAGACAGACGCGCCTCTGTGCCAGTGAGTGGATAACAGCCTTGTTTTCCTGATCCTCAGTCTCCCGGAGAAAGAGGTATAGTAAAAGTGTAGCTGGATCCGACACCTTCCCCTCTCATTCTTTTTTTTTTTCTTTTTTTTTCTTTTTTTTTTTTTAACTTCTCTCCCCTCCTCCCTGCAAAATATAAATCTGATTAATTTTTTTTCCCCCTGTCTATAGAGTGAGTCAGAGCAGCGTTAGGAAGAAGCTGCAACTAATGTCTGAAGGGAGGAACATGAGGCGATAGTGAATGTGATTTGTTCTGCTGGATCTGACTCATCCGGCAGACTGAAACACCTGCATTTCTGGATGTGCCATTCATTTATTTCTAGTTGTTAAAAGAACCTGAAATAAAATTTAGTTACCCTTACCCAGTATTTGCCCATACACCCTGTCGCTGGGATACATATTTCAGAGAGGGGGAACGCATCTGGCATTGCCGCTGCTACTCCCCGCCCCCCCATCCCCCTCGTACCAAGATGCCCAGAGAGACTGTTACAGCTTGAAAGGACTGCAAAAAATGCATCACACCAAATCACGAAACTGCATAGGTTCTATTACAACCGATTTAGTCGATTAAAAGATCTCCCACTCTATTCATCGCCAGGATTGTTTTTCCTCTTCTTCTCCCCTCCCCTAAATGAAGAGGACTAGGCGGCAGTGTCATTGGAAGGAGATGTTGAATAGAAAGAAAAGAGAGGCACTTGACAGCGCAGCCCTGTGAATACAGAGACTGTTTCCCTTTTAGCGAGAGACTAACAGAGAGTGTGTGTGTGTGTGTGGTGGCTTTTTTTTCTTTCATTCTCCATCCCCCCCCCCCCCCCACCTCCTCCTGCCCTCCTTCTCTCGCTCGCTCGGTTTTTTTGAAATCTATGCGTCCAGCCGTGGGTTGCCTGTTGATTTCCTCTCGGCTGAAGAGAAAAGCAAACTGGAATTAAACTGCATCGAGAAAAGTGCAGCTCCTCAGACACGCATACTCACACACACAGATAGACGAAGAGAAAGGATGTGGTGGTGGCGGCGGCTACTGGCCTGTCTTAAAGAAACCCAAGTGTGCATCTGATTGAGCACAGACTGTGATTTCTCTCAAAATATGTATTTACTGCTAGTGATGACAGTCAGCTAGTGGGTTTCTTATTTTTTTTCCCCGCAAAAAAACAACAACAAGTGCGAGGCTGGTAGTAGAGGGAGGGAGAGGAAACTACAAATCTGGGCACTAGTTTTTACTGGGATTGTTTTGTGTGTGGTTTATTTTCCCCTCTTGCCCTGCAATCCTCATTCCCTCGCGTTTTGATTCAGGAAGGAAATAGTGAGGGTGTATGAGACAGAGAGGGGGGTAATACCGGTGGCAGCGAGATGCAGCTCTCTGCCGCAAGCAATGCAAGATTAGATCTCTAAATGCAGCAAAACACTCCCTGAAAACCAACAACCCCGCGGTGCAATCAGACATTTCACTGCCTCTCACTGCACACGAAGAGGGTTTCAACAACAAGCTGAGACTTTTTTTTTCCCCCCCTTCTGTCTCTCTCCCACCCCTTCACTCCATCAATTGCATCACAAGCGATGAGTAGCAAATAGGATTTTCTACCCCCGCTTACAGACCTGTGGCCACCCCCCTTTCCTATGTATATAAAATACAAGTATTTAAAAAAAATATATATATCTTTTTGATCGTTTTTAGAGAAACAACCACTGCCACCGATTTTTTATTATTGTTATTATTTTTATTATCCTTTGTACATCTCCGGGGAATCAAGGATCGGGAACACTTCGTCTGCCCAGAGGAGAAGATCTTTCAGAGATTTTCTGATTTTTGAAATCCTCCCACTACCAAAGTTGGACAGCTGAAGTAACTGCGAGGGGACTGCAAGCAGGGCAAGTGCTTGCTGAAACGCTGCTGAAGCTGCTCCCCCCTCCTCCGCCCACTCCCCCTCCATCCCCGATTGCTCCCTCCCTCTGAGCTACATGGTCCATTTGCTGCCTCTCATCCTGTGTCTCTGCAGATGTTTTAGAGCAACAGGTTCAGGAACTTAAAATACAGGGGTGGAGAAAGAGAAGACAAAAAAAAAAAAAAAAAAAAAAAGGAAAAAAAAAAGAAAGAAAGAAAAACCCAGCTCCAACGGAGGAGGAGGTAGAAGAAACCCAGCACGGGAGGCAGAGAAGAAGGTTGCCGCTGCAGCTACTGCCACCTCCACCCCTGCTCGGGGATGTACCTTTCCATTTGTTGCTTCTTTCTCTGCTGGGCTCCTGCCCTGTCGCTAAAGAACCTGAATTACTCGGTGCCCGAGGAGCAGGGAGCGGGCACAGTGATCGGGAACATTGGCCGCGATGCGCGACTGGCGGCAGGTGCGGCAGGAGGCGGGATGGTGCCCATGGAGCGCGGTGGCCCTGGCGGCGGCCGTGGCCCCAAATCCACCTTCCGAGTGCTGGAGAACTCGGCCCCTCACCTCCTGGACGTGGATGGGGAGAGCGGGCTGCTCTACACCAAGCAGCGCATCGACCGCGAGGCACTCTGCCGGCGCAGCACCAAGTGTCAGCTGTCCCTCGAGGTGTTTGCCAATGACCAGGAAATCTGCATGATCAAAGTAGAGATCCAGGACCTGAATGACAATGCACCAGCGTTCCCCTCTGACCAAGTGGACATGGACATCTCAGAAAATGCTGCACCAGGCACCCGCTTCCCCCTCACCAGCGCCCATGACCCAGACGCCGGAGACAACGGGCTGCGCACCTACCTGCTCACCCGTGACGACTATGGCCTCTTCTCCCTTGATGTGAAGTCCCGTGGTGATGGCACAAAATTTCCAGAGCTGGTAATCCAGAAGCCATTAGACCGTGAGGAGCAGAGCCACCACACCCTGGTGCTGACAGCACTGGATGGCGGTGACCCACCACGCTCTGGCACTGTGCAGATCAACGTGCGCCTCATTGACTCCAATGACAACAGCCCTGTCTTTGAGGCAGCCTCCTACGTGGTAGAGCTGCCAGAGAATGCACCACTGGGCACTGCTGTCATCGACCTTAATGCCACCGATGCTGATGAGGGTACCAATGGAGAGGTGCTCTACTCCTTCAGTGGCTATGCACCCGAGCGCGTCCGTGACCTGTTTAGCATCGATCCACAGAGTGGCCTCATCCGTGTCAAGGGCAATCTGGACTATGAGGAGAATGGCCTCATTGAGATCGATGTTCAGGCTCGGGACCTGGGGCCAAATCCCATCCCTGCTCACTGCAAGGTCACTGTCCGCCTCATCGACCGCAATGACAATGCACCCACCATTGGCTTTGTCTCCGTTCGCCAGGGAGCACTGAGTGAGGCTGCCCCACCGGGCACTGTCATTGCCCTGGTGCGGGTCACTGATCGTGATTCAGGCAAGAATGGACAGCTCCAGTGCCGGGTGCTGGGTGGTGGCGGTGGGCCTGGAGCCGTCCCTTTCACCCTGGAAGAGAACTATGACAACTTCTACACTGTGGTCACTGACCGGCCCCTGGACCGTGAAGCACAGGATGAGTACAATGTGACCATTGTGGCACGTGATGGGGGCAACCCCCCACTCAACTCCACCAAATCGTTTTCTGTCCGGATCCTTGATGAGAATGACAACCCACCCCGCTTCAGCAAGAACCTCTATGTGTTACAAGTGCCCGAGAACAATATCCCCGGAGAGTACCTGGGCTCTGTTTTGGCCCAGGACCCTGACCTGGGCCAAAATGGGACAGTCTCTTACTCCATTCTGCCTGGGCATGTGGGTGATGTCTCTATCTACACCTATGTCTCTGTTAACCCCACCAATGGTGCTATCTATGCCCTGAGGAGCTTCAACTATGAGCAGACAAAGCACTTTGAGTTTCGTGTGCTGGCCAAAGACTCGGGTTCACCCCATCGTGAAAGCAACGCCACTGTGCGTGTCACTGTGCTTGATGTCAATGACAATGCACCCCTCATTGTCCTGCCTGCCCTCATCAATGACACCGCTGAGCTCCAGGTGCCACGCAACGCTGGGGTGGGCTACCCTGTGGGCACCGTCCGTGCCCTGGACAGTGACTTTGGGGAGAGCGGGCGCCTCACATATGAGATCGTAGAAGGGAATGAGGAGCACCTCTTTGAGATGGACCCTACTAGTGGTGAGATACGCACCTTGCACCCCTACTGGGAAGAGCTCAGCCCTGTGGCTGAACTGGTGGTAAAAGTCAGTGACCATGGCAAGCCCAGCCTCTCTGCAGTGGCCAAGCTCATTGTTAGGGCCTTGGCAGGGCCCCTGCCTGAGGCTGGCGGGCCGCCGGTGCA